CTTTGATTAGGTATATCAAGTGAATGTGATAGATAGATAGATATAAAATCTACAACAACATTAATTTGCCATTAAATTAAGAAAAAGTCTTCAAATATCGTATCACTTATTATACGACTTATGATTTTTGTACACTACGTGTGTGAAATGAACTTTCCAGTTATAAAATTGAGTATTTTATAACTTAAATGCAATATATTAATAGGTTTCTAAACCCAATATCGATAGTCACGAATTCAAATAGAGCTCAATGCACGTATAAATGAAACGGCGCGCAATACTATATTCGGCATTTCGTTTTTTCACTTTTAACAACAAAACGACATGCAATGCAACGCAATTGAATGTAAATATTTCCAACTTGGATTGACTGCGTTGGCCATCGAATTTCAAAATCAATACAAATTAATTGTCCTATAGATATAGTTTTCATAGAACTTTAAATATATATTTGATAAGAAATATTTGGTTATGAATTTGGTATTTCACAACTTAACCTCAATAAAATCTCGTAAATAATAATAATATTCTTTTTCGTCATCCGCTTTAACGGAATGACAAGGTTCAACAGTAGTCGCTAACGTCTAGCTGCTCACAGATGGTAGCAAAATCGAAAACAAAGTAGGCTTTGCAGTAACTGTCTGGATGGACGATAAAGAAATTAAAAGATTCACCTTCACAGCTACTACTGTACAGTTTATTTCTGAATGTGTTAAGTATCCTTAAGCCAATATTTTAAGAGACTCAAGATCAGCCATTGAAAGTATCTGCGATTCATCATCACTGCACCCTATTGTAGCGGAGATACAAGACAACATCACTAAACCAGAAAAGAATAGTGAGCGCATTGAACTTTTCTGGATAATAATAAGTGCGCCACGAATGGCGTACTGCATTGGCACTGCATCATTCCTGGCAACAAACGAGCTGACGAACTAGCTAGCTGAAAATGCTGCCATTAAAAATAAACAAAGTTCAATATACTACAAGTTCCCCTTATCTTATGCCTAGCACCTCACTAGAAATGCTACTCTTATGATCTGGCAACAGAAGTACATCGAATCTACAGGCAGCGGTACCACGATAATATTCTTCTCAAATGTACAGATAGCTTATAAAATATTAAAAGGTATCAAAATTACTAACATTAAAACACAATTGTTTACTGGACATGGCGAAAATAAATCATATTTGTATAGGTTTAAGTATCGACAAATCCACACTGCACTATACTACTATACACACACGCGATGATGAAAGTGATCAAACACATTTACACAATGCACTTTCTGCAATTCTATTATAAATAAAGAAAATGGAAGTAAATTATAATATCAATGATGTAATATATATATATATATTTTTTTTTTTTTTTTTTATATATATATGATAAACTTTCTTTAATTATGATATAAAAATTTGATAGTAAGACCTTTATAGTATAATATCTAGATAAAGTCATAAGTAATGTATTAGCAAATTAGCAAAAAGCTATACGAAGATTAGTAGATTAAAAAGAGAAGTATAAATGTATAAAACTATAATAGCAATAAGTAAAACTTATAAGGAACCTAATTTTAATAAAAATAACAACAAAAAAATACAATTATAAAAAAACATACGGAAATAATAAAACCAGATATAAAAGTTAAAAGAAAGAAAAGTACTGCATTAACAGCAGTAGTATAAAAGAATAAATTAAAAATACCTCTCGCTGCTTCGCTATGCTCCCGCTTCTATAGCTCGCAGCCCTGAGTCTGCTGAAGCTGTAAAGGTGTAAAGCCAACTAGTTAGCAGCACTAATATAACTGATAAAAGAGAGGTACTGCTACCTTCAAGAACGGTTCCATACATTTTCTATACATATTGTGTAATTCCCCTGGCCAAGCGGGGCCAGCTCGTTGACTTAAGGCTTAGGAGGGCAAAATTAGAAAAGACTATAATCCCGATTTAGATTCTGTACACATTAACGTGGTAGAGCCATGGTACAGCTATATTATAGTTTTAGCACGGATGGGTCGGTTCGACCCGGGGTAGGACAACGCTCTCACAAATTACCAACGTAAAATAGCAGCTTAGTGCTGCTGTGTTTTGTGCCGTGAGAGTAGAGAACCGGAGAGGTTTTTATTGGAAACGAGGCATTCCATCTTAGTCCTCAGGGGTGACAGCGCACATGAAAATGCACATGCATTGTGATTCTTGATCGAGGATAAATGTAGATGTCTAAGGGCCACAGCATCCTCTATCAGGTGGAGTGTGTGCTCGTTTGCCATCCTTATTCTATAAAAAATACAATTAAAATTTTAGTTTTCTTTATTACTATTCAGATAAATTTCAAAATAAATTGAATAAATACTTCTATAAAACAATAAGGAAGCATTATCGAGTCGAATTTAATGGTTGACTCGGGTTAGTCGCTGATATTCACTGCTTTCATCCCTTAGATGCGATAAGTAAAATTATAATATAAGTAAAGTAAAATTGTCGTGTTGTGGCCGCGTTATGTAATTACCTCTGTGGTAATTACTCTAAGAGCGGCGTAATACAATGTGTCGACCGATTTTATCCTGTGAGTGTAGTAACTTTTCAACACTTCTTTTCTTTCCTTCAACTGTGGGAGATACCAAATTTTTATAGTTTACAATAAATGGACGTTTAGCCATCTCATACAAACCTGACGTAAAATACCTAGATTGGAGATCTCAATAACTGACGGCTTGTTAGTGTCAATGATACAAGACATAATTTAGTGAGATTGCCAATCCTAAATTTCTGCTAATTGAAATAGAAATATGTTGCGTAATCTCCGTCTCGACGAGGAATTACGGGATCTCCTTTCTCCTTCCACTGCTATGCTACTAATTTAGCTCATCTGTGGTGCTTCCGAATCCCCAGCCCTCACGAAACTGTTACGATATTTTAGGATTACGTTGAAACATTTCGTCGCAACGTTCTCTTCGACGGGAATTATTTTTAACTGGGAAGTTATTGTAATGGGTCTGATTTTGCAATTTGTAAATTTAAACCCTTCGATCCCTATTAAAATCCCATGCAGTCGCATGCGCCCGGCAAATCCCGAGCGGTCGCATGCGACTGCAACCACCATCCACAGCACTTCAAACCATTAAAACTTATATTTAAAGGTTACTTTTCTATGAAGAAGTTTAGCATTATAAAATCTATACAAAATTTTCTATCCTGAGGTCTAAACAAAAGTTAGGTTTTACTTCATTACAAAAAGATTTAATTGTATTTTGATAACAAAAAAAACATACCAAGCGAATCTCGGCAGCGTGAAAATCACAATTATTTCAATATATATTACTCAAAATTATTTACGTAAAATAATAAATTATATTCACACAAAAACTTTCATTATAATTTTATAATAAAACACTAATAAAAAACTAGAAAAATCCAAAAATCAACACAATAACATTCACGCGAAAATGGCGTACGAAATGAACATAAATTATAAATAAATATCCATAAGATAACTTGACTTTTTATTGAAACAGAGGATAGAAAATTTCGTATTAATTCTATAATACCAAACTTCTTCGTGGAAAAGTAGTCTCTAAATATAAGTTTTAATGGTTTAAAATGCTGTAGGTGTGCGCGATCGAATCCTACCGCTTGAATTTTGACGGAGTAGCGCCGCGGTCGAATTCGACCGCTTAAGGATTGAGAGGCATATCTCTACGTTTCAAGGTCTTTAGAGCCGAATAGTATGATTTTTAAGAGGATCTCACACAAATTTTCCACACGTTTCATTTAACGCATAACTATGTAACTTAGACCTCATAAAATTTTGAGAAAAATCGGTCAAGTCGTTTTTTGTGCCGAATGAAAAATTGTGAAATTAGTCATGTGGACTTAGACCGCTTAGACCTTTCGGGTCGCACTTAGACCGCTTTATATTAATTTTTGCTTTTAACATTTTATCAAAAGTTAAACCAGCTAAGGATTATCAAAGCATTTCTAATTATTGTAACTAGAAGGCTTAGATCAGATAAGCATTGGCCATTTCAGCTTTGTAAGCATGGTTAGTTAATACTTGTAATTACGGTAAAATTTAATAATGTTTTAAATCAAATTTTTAAAAATTTTAAATAACTTTAAAATTTCTGATTTACTTTTATTTTAATAACTTGAGCGGTAAATCTAACGGTGACATACTGCGTTATCATCTATACATAAGTAGTATTTGCGTTAATAATTTAATGTATCATACCAGAATTTAGGTCACGCCTTATTATACGTAAATGCGTTTAACGCTCATTATCAAATTAGAAAACTTACTCATAATGACAGTTCTTGTAATAACTTAATCAACAACGTACAGTCAGCAAAAATAACTTGTATTATTCATAAAGTTGCGAAATGTAAATTTATTAATTGAAAATAACTCATTTATTATTATAGATACTCATACATCATACAAATATGGATCTTATTAACCATTCACCGTCGAGTGTGCTTAGGTAGATATATACGTTTAACATTCACTTGCAACATAATATTTAAATATAATAAACCTTTTGGTTAAACAAAATACTGTGCTGATCTTTCACCATAGTTATTTAAACTTATAATATCCGATTTAATTTGTTAATATACTTCTAAAGCGATTTTTATTTAAAAAAAATGGCATTGAAATACAATTATCCATCGCTTTTAATGTAGCGCTAACTTCGCTAAAAGAAACAAATATTTTTTATTACCAGTCTGTACTCCAACGAAATTGGAGCAGTTTAGTAATTGACCGCAAATTACCGTCACACAGTGCCCGAGAACACAACGTACTCTGATCGCAAATCAAAATAATTGTCGCAAAATAAAAAAGAGCTAAAAGCGTACAATCATTGAAAATAACCCGATAATTGCTGCACTCACTTCACATGCCGCAACATCCTGCCCTCTAACTTTTGACCCAGTAAATATATGAACCGCGCGCATTTTCCGCATATACAAGCACAAAACACAACGTTACGAACATCATGTTCACAAAACTATTAATTTGTTTTCTAGTATTTAAAGTGGTGACAGCACAAATAAATGGCGAATTCTGGTGGTTAAATGACAAATTGGCCAAGTTGAACAATGTGGAACCACCGCGGCCCAAATTCGATGAAGTTGGTGAATTTGATACTGACGAGAGCGCCAAAGTTGTGTTTCGAGATAGTTTGTACAATACAGAAGAAGAAAACAGTTTTGACATCACAACAGTTCGAACAGAACTTAGAGAAGCAATAGTGTATTTCAGGGATAATAGTAAACCTACAAATCCAGTTAATGTGAGTGAGGAGCTCGATATAAATGCAGCTGAAAATAATGAAATTAATTATGTAAATAAACGTAAAACCAAAAATTACAATGAAGATATTCTTAACTTCATATTCCCTAGTGATAAGGAAATTCTAAAAGACGTGACTATAAGTAACAGAACATCAACAATACTTACATCAGAAAATTATACGGAAACAAATATTAACAAAAATGAGACTTTTAATGATAAAATATTATTTGATACAATCAAAGAAGTATCGTTAACAGAAAATATTTGCACTTATATGAAGAAAAGCGAATGCAATCGCTATAATGGACTCCCTTACGCACCTGAAACCAGGTAAGTTATTTTTATATATGTAGTAGCTTTATCTTTTCCAAATCTAAAATTTATTGATTTACATATAAAACTTGCTATTTTAGTCTTAACTCAAAAAGATATTCAAGAAATTCTGAGAAAATTTGTTGCATTCTTCCATTGACAAAACAAACATCTTCTAAAATAAGTTTTCCTGATTCGAGCACCTATAATTATAACCGTTTAAAACGATCAACAAACGAAACGGATAAAATTAGTCCAGCGCTTAAGCAGAGAAACGTTTTGTTGCAAAGAAAATATGGATCTCAAATGCGGGGTACACAACGAGCTATATCAACAACACAAAAACCTTTACAGAAAATTGTTACACCTGGCGATGATTACATCGATCCATATTTGAATATCAAAAACTCAAATTTGAGGCCTCCTGATAAACAACAAGATTATCAAACAGGAAGTTCCCAGCAGGATAATTATAATGATTATGTTGAGGATTATTACGCTCCAGAACTTCCGAAACCAGGTCTAGTAGGTCTTTATTCCAATCATAGACCATTATACTGGACTTTTGTAAGTGCAAATAAGTGGACACCTTACGATAACGTTGAGAGCGGAGAAGAAATCGATTCTATTGGTTATCCAGCAATTGATCCTCGAGGTAAATTAAATTTATTTAAATTTTACTAATTATTATTATTAAAGATATTAAAAAGGTATACAAACATTCGTAAGACATGCAGGAAGTTGATGGATGCAGGTGGCTCAGAACCGTGCTTTACGGCATGGATATGATCAGTAATATTGTGACTTGTGATTTTTATTTTATCATCTTAATACTTTATCATCTCTATCAGAAACAAAACAACCTAATGTATGACTTATAGCTGGTGACAACGCATGTATAAGCTATTAACTAATGTACAAATGTAATATACATCCTTTTTAATGACATCGTGAGTTGTTTTTGTATCTAAGTGATAATTTTTTTGATATATTTGTAACATTTTTTTTTTAATTTTTACTTAAACTGAAATATCGTTTCTACCAATAATATTTTTTCCGTAACAGATGGATCTTCGACGACGGCTCCCAACTTTAAACGTAGACTTTTAAAACTAAATACAAATTCAAAGAACATGTACAAGGCAAAAGAAAGTAAAGTCAGTTATCACTCAAATCCCGACTTCCAAGTGTTACAAAGATTTAAACTTCCTAATTTAATGACTAGAAATAAGCCCCGTCCAATACATATTTCAAGTTATACCTCAACGACAGAAAGTCTCGCAGAGAATAGTGAAGCAGACCCTAATTTTGAGTCGTACATTGATAACGATTATGATGATTATATTGACAATATGCAGCTAGCATACAGGAAATGTGGGAGAACAAGAGAAAAAAATTTAGAAAATTACAATTGTGGTAACCATTTCAATATTACCTACAATAATACGTACTGAATGAAATTCACAAAACCATTTACCTTTCACATTTTTAAAGTAAAAACATATACGATATGCACAGCACTTACGAAATGAGAAGTTCTCGCTAGGCTTTTACAGAAAATATTGAATATGCTTTAAACATTTTTAATAGTGCTTAAATTTTATTCTTTATCAGTCTTTTTTTAAATCACTATATATATATATATATATAACCGGTTTCAAGAATGTGCCAATTGGTATGCATATGTATTTTGAAACAACACCACGCTGGGCGTGAAAGCAAAGCCGTTACCCTCACATCGGTAACGTAATGTTCCTCTCCATTAACAGCTTTTGGCATTGAAAATTTGACATTTTCGCAAATAGAATTTCAAATGTCATCCACCAATTGTCGATAGATAGAGTATAGTCTAACTACTCTTAGCCTGTGACCAGAGCGACGCAAACTCAACCCCTTTACTGCCTTCTTATATGTATTATATTTTTAGATTAAAAATAGTTATAATTTGTATCCTCCAAAATAAAATGTACCTTCTATTTTAGTTCCTCATAACAAATACTTAATTTTAGGCAAAGCGTTAGGCGATGCTGCACGAGGATCACACCCATGGCTTCTTCTAGTGGTGCTGACCAAAATGCAGAAAAGCATACTTTGTTATGCGACTCTAATACATGCACGTGCCGCCGTGACTGCTGCTGACTGCACTTATGGGTATCTACCAATGTTCTTCTATTTTATAATTACATTCGCAGTTTTAAAAATACTGGCATAAAATGGCCACCGACTAACGACGGCGAGCAAAGTCAAAATTGCAAGTTGATTGCAGATCGCGGCACTGACTGCGGTCAACAATCTGCCTGCCAAAAATAGTGTTGTGAAGTATCGGTTTTAAAAAATAAGTAGATTTAAACGCGTAAAAGCGATTTTTTTCAATGTGTGCTGTTCGCTTAAATAAAATAATTATTATAAAAATAGTGATTATAACAAACCCATTACAGAGGCCAACGTAACACGTCCACTTGCAGTGACATGCTGATAGATGGATGGATTTTCAGTATATAAGCCATTTCATTTACATAATATATTCAAATTATAATAAACCATATACAACACGTAACATAATTAACGCATTTTGAGTCGATTTCTATCATTTTTAATATAGGTAACTTTTTATCCCAAAAATAATTAAAACTACGTAAATTATAGTCACACTAAATCTGTACAGTCAAAACAAACTGAAATGAACCGTAACTTAAGGCAATAAGACTTTTAAGAGTGCAGTTTTATTTGTATTATTACTAATTCTGTCATTCAATAAAAATAAAGGAAAATGAACTTTATTTCAAGCACGTTAAAATCTTTGCGTGCGATGATTTGTACTGTGACCACAACATTCTTCCGGAATTAGTATAACTAATTTGATAAATAATCAGTGTATAAAAATGTTTAACTAAAAATTCAGTGTATGTATTATGATTATAACATAATATACTAATTGGGGTGTCTGAGGGTGTGCGTTAATTACGTTACATATTGTATAAATGGGTTTTCTTCTTCTATAATTTTATAAGGTATAACTATAATTTTATCTAAATTATATAGAATAAGGGTGACAAACGAGCACACAGTCCACCTGTTGGTAAGTGGATGCTGTGGTCTATAGACATCTACATTTATACTCGATTAAGAGTCAAAACGCAGATGCGTTGTCACTTCTCAGAACTAAGATGAAATGAATCATTTCCGATAAAAAAGGTTCTACGGATCTCTACATTCGAAACACAGCAGTATTAAGCTGCTATTTTACGCTGGTCTTCTGTGAGAGCGTGGTCCTTCTCCGGTCGAGCCGACCCATTCGTGCTACAACTATACTACTAATTTAATTTCAGCATGGCTGTACCACGTAATAAAATAAACTAAATGGTAAACGACAAAGAGATCTTATAGCCTCCGATAGAAGGTGACATAACCATTTCGTAATTATACTAGAACATATAAAATCCTCAAGCCGTCGACTGAAAACAGCGTCAAAGGTGACTCCTCGTACTTTGCCATTCCACTTGCAAAGCGATTAAAGCATGCAACTACCGTACAGTAAACGAGGCATTCCATTTTAGTCCTCACGGGTGACAACGCATCTGCATTTTAATATTTTTATTGTTTTTTATTCGTAATCCAGGAAAGATGTAGACGTCTATAGGCAACAGCAACCACTTACCGTCAGGTGGACTGTGTGCTCGTTTGTCACCCTTATCCTATAAGAAAACGTACTTTTACTTCGTAGTTACGAAATCTACAGGACGATATTACGAGATTAATTCAGATTATTCAGATTCGCCGCCATTTCAGACGAGATAATAGGCTTATTTGTTTTTAATTATTTTACTGAAGTAAAACTTGTTTACGCATACTTGACTCGGGAAGTTAACTGGATAGCTGGCGAACGCGTGACGAAAGCGTTAAGAAAAATGTGATCGTGCGAGGCGAACGGGAGTTGAGTGGGGGATATAAGCAAGAGAGTGCAATGTGCGCGCACATTTTCTTTCCCTCTTTCTCTCGTAGCCAGTTATTTTTCATCATATTATTAATTTTTGAACAATTTTATGAATTAATATTTTGTTCAATACATTAAATATTCTACGTTTAAAGTGAATAAAATTGTAAATTCATTTTAAAGTTCATGTTTTGTGAATTTTCGGGTGAATAATAACAAATTATTGGAGGAAGCCGATAGTAAATTTAAATATTTATAGAAAATTAATATATTATGTATGTGTATATAACTACATGTATATATTATACATATATGCATACTTATAATATGTAGGTACTCTTGTAATCTATTCTGAGTAAAAAATATTATTTTCTATTCCGACATTTTCTTGGCGACTGGAAAGCGAATGGACACTAAATATTAGGACTACAATTTAGCTCGTCGCTATAATTTCTCATTCGTTGCTAAATTCAGCTAACGCAATTAACTTCACTGCTTTTGTACGTGGAAGGGAATTCCTCTAAACTTTATGTTACCCTTGCCTTGTATTGCATATAAATATATTATTGTATATTCACAGACTCTCCCCTGGTGATATCACTATTATCGCTGGAGTATGGGACCTTAAAGAAGATAATCAAGCCCAATTGCAGCATCGCTTGGCCTCTGTACACGTACATCAACAGTATTTACCTGGAAAATTGGCTTATAACATAGCTCTTCTGGTTTGTTAATGCAATAGTATTATTTTCATAATTTATAATCAGAGTACGACGAAGTGACTAATAAAAAAAAAGTTTTGTTTCCATGTTCTAGCATTCATCCTTTAGTTTAGCGGCTTATAAGTAATGCTGTACTTATACGAATAATATATCTTGCGCAGTTGATAACTATCGGTTGCGTTTATTACTTTTTTGTAGAATTCAAGCGTTGGAGAAACTAATTGTTTGCACGTGGTTTTTGTACGTGGTAGAGCCATGCTGCAGTTATATTCGAAGTATAGTTGTAGCACGAATGGGTCGGCTCGACCAGGTAAGGACCACGCTCTCACAGAGTACCAGCGTAAAATAGTATCTTCATGCTGCTGTATTTCGCATGGTGAGTGTAGAGAACCGTTGTATGGCCAGTTACGAGAACCGGTGACCTATTTGTCCCATTTGAAGGAGTAACAAAACATTCCATCTCATTCCTCGAACGGAGAACACATCAACATTTTGATTCTTAATCGATAATAGATTTAGATGTCTATAGACCGCAGCATCCACTTACCACCAGGAGGACTGTAAGCTACGTTTACCACCCTTAATTCTTTATAAGAATTTGCTATAAGTACGTGAGCTTTTGCAGTCGTGAAGAATAAATTAAAAGGCCTTCTTACTTATTGATTATTATAACGGAGCAGAAAATCAGTTTTCCAAGCATGGCAATAACGGCATAATCTCCCTTAGAAGGGAAAGGCCCATGCCCAGCAGTAGCTGTTCACCGGCCTGTGATCATAAACTAGTTCATAAGTTACCTCGTTTCATTGCTTTTTACGTAGTAGTAGTATCGAATGCCTCGTTGGTCTAGTGGATCATAAGGTATCGTGTTCAAATCCCGGGTCTGGTCAAGATCAGTTTGTGGGTTTTCTGTCAAGAAATTCTGAGTAGCAGCCCGGAGTGAGTCATCATTAGTTATACCTCGACGTAATAGATAATGATACATTTACTATCGATCTACAAGACCGCAAAATAAATAATTAATGTCACAAAATTGCAGTACTGGGAACGTCCGCTGAGACTAGGTTCAGGTGTACTACCCGCATGCGTTACGGATGCGAATGTTAAAGCTACCTGCATGTTCGTCGGATGGGGTGGATACGATCAAGGTATGTAAGGAATTCAAAAGCACAATAATTTATGGGCTATTAGTTAGAATTATTTATTCATTAATACAGTCTATCATAATTTCACTGCTAAATATAAGCCTTCTCAATAGATTGTCTAATAGAAGCGATATTTGCCACGACTGCCACTCTTACAGGCGGGATGGCAATCGCAGTTTTTCTGTATTTATTGTTAAAATGTCACAGTATGCGATCAAACCGAGTTCGATCCCCGTCGGCACCGATGAAATTGTTAATTTCAATTTTAAGTGCTCATTTACCACGTGCTCGACGGTGAAGGAAATCATCGTGAGGAAACCTGCATGTCTGAGACATAAGAAAAAAATATTTTGAAGACTTGTGAAATTCGCCAATATGCATTGGGGCAGCGCGGCGGTTACTTCCTTGACCTAGAACCCTCTCATAAATGAGGGGAGGCCAGTACCCAGCAGTGGGACGTATGTAAGCTGTAACTTTAGCTTTTAACTTTACAGTGAAGATTCTGTTGCCCAAATGTTTCAATTTCCCTGTCACCACTTACTACACCCACGCGATACATATGGGGTAGCAGATTCTTTTACGCCCCCACTACACGTCTCTAAATCACAGGAATTAGCTTTTTTTTCTTTATTTTTTGTAATTGAAATATTAATTTTTCTTGTTGCTATTTTATAGCCATACATCAACGTCCACGCTGGCAACGTGTCTCCATTTTGTCTCCTCGAAATTGCGTTGAACGAATTTCTATAGATCATGGATATGATTTTCCAATCGACGCGTTCTGTGCTTCTGTTGAATTCAAGACTACTGTTGTAAGTTTTAAGTATATAATTACAAAATAGCTAACATAGTAACCAAAAAATACTTTGTACTATGTTTCTCCTTTTTTATCTAACATATACCTATTACTAAATTAATCTATTAACTGCTAAAGAGCTGTCTTCTGTAACCATAGACAAAATCATAATCGTTACAACAGTGAAAATTATTATGAGCACCTAAGGTCTATTAAGATAAATTCGTTTAAAATTTTATTTCGTGACAATAGTAGATTATCAACAGAAAACAAAAAAAACTCAATTACAGTGTTCTTCTTTTAAACTAATAAATACGTTTGCAGCACAGAATACTATAATATAGTTTTCTAAGGTTTGCAAGAATGCGCTATCTCTTTGCGAGCGAATATTTGTAATCATCATAGAATGTAAAGTGGGTGGACCATTGAAGGCCATGCTCCTTCCAAAACCAATTATTAAAATGTCGTAGTTATTGCCATTTGATGACAAATTCCTTCTACTTACACAAACACCCATCGAACTGAAAATCACAGACGCGGCGGCGAATCGCTCGCGCTACTATTTTGGCAATAAGGCACCTCGCTTCATTGTTTTCGGAATCGAGAACGTTAAGATAAGGTGGGTTTACCATGGAAGGCCACTCTAACAAATAAACAGTTATTATTCGTTTATTTACTGGATAAATGAAACTAACAAATATTTAAGTAATACTTTGTTTTATTACGTAACATATAAACCACTTCTCTTTATTGTAGATTTAATCGCTATTTATTAAACTTTAGTGTTAAATGACTGATTTATTATAATGGCCTTCTAAGAAGCCTTGTTCCTAGCAAGGCCATTTGGACAAGTTCAATAAAACTTAAATTCAATCAATATTGATTAAATCTGCAATTTAAAAAAGTGGTTTAATTGTTATGTAATAAAACAAAGCATTACTTAAATATTTGATAGTTTCATTTATCCAGTAAATAAACGAATAGTTTAGTTTAGTTTAGTTTACGGGCTGTTTTCCGCAACTCCACGTCTAAGCGCGTATTTTGCGTGTGGGCAGGAATAATATGCTTATTCGAGCCATGATATCTCCCCGAAGAAGCTCAGCAGTCCCTTGATGTTGCAAGCAACTTCGGGGAGCGATCCCGGCGTACCGAGATGTATAGCCCTGTATGAAGCGACTTCTGGACATGTCAGCAACACGTAAGCCGCCGTTTCTTCCTCTCCCATGCATGCCCTGCACAGGGGGCTGTCAGTAACACCTATGGTGAACGAATGTTTGTTAAAAGAGCCATGTCCTGTGATACCTAGCACTTGTTACTATCCTGATCTGTGGCTTGTTCAGTCTCGTTAGAACCTTGGTTAGACGACTGTTTATTTCAGGCAGGGCCTCCCTAGCTTGTCTACAGTCTACTAAATTTTTCCAAAGCTGAGCGTGTAAATTATTTGAAGTATCTACGTACCAGTGAACGAACGTAGCCAAAGGGGATTGGTATTATTGGTTCCGGCCCTATAGTTGCTAGGGCCGATCCCCTTCTGGCCAGTTCATCTGCTGCATCGTTGCCTCTAGATCCACTGCGTCCCTTGATCCATTGCAGAGTCACATTGTTTTGCTTACATACCTCATTCAATCGTTGATGGCACTCGTATATCAGTCCCGAGTTCGTCACATTGCAACTCGGAGCTTGTAGTACCGCCATACTGTCGGTCAGTATTCTGATGGAGAAATCTTTCACCTTCCTAGCATCTATTGCTATGGCCGCTTGGATGATACCCATGCATTCAGCCTGGAAGACTGTGTTGTGGGTACCCAGCGGTGTGCATATGTGGATATTAAGGTCTTCAGAGAAAGCCCCTGTAAATAAACGAATAATAACTGTTTATTTGTTACGAGTGGCCTTCCATCGTACACCCACCTTACGTAGTTTCCGAATCGAGCGCTCGTTACGGAATGTCGTTCTATTGCGATGAATAGATGTCATCTACCATCTATATTGGCGAGGACAAGGACGTATATATTTCTTTTTATGACGTTGATATAATTAGCTATACTAAATATGCATAAAGTGTGCACGCTGTCACATTTTCAACACCCATTGTGTTGCGAAAGCAAACAACCAAGTGCGGAGGTCGCGATTAATTGCGCGAGTAGAGCAGTGTGTGGGCAGAGAGGAAAACATCGCGGCAACGCGAGTAGAGCAGTAAGCAGCGCAAGGAGAATAGTGTGGCGAAACCATAAAACAAACGAAATTGATTGGGTGGGAAATCCCCAACATTATTTTATGCTGTGTTATACAAAATGAGGTATTCCCATAAAATAGGTACAAGATAAGGGTTGCCAGCATTTAAAAATGTAAAATGAGTAATGAGACTGATTTCTTTAGCTTCATCATTTTCTTTTCTCATAACTCAACAAATAAATGTAACTGGTAACAAGTAAATGATTGGTGAGTTCAAGACTATAGACAAGCGTGATATTATTGTTTGCTAACAATTAAATTATTTTTTATATTCCTTTATATCTAATAATAATGGTGAGTCATTCGACTATTCGCCATAGGGAATGACGATTAATCGGTATTCGACTATTCGCTATAACAACTATTCGCGGCATCTCTAGTTATTACCCAAATACTGGAGCAGTCAGTTAAAAAGTGCTTGAAATTCAATGAAAGTCTCTTGGACACTATTAGTATAATTTTATGACACTGTTTTCATATTTCAGACTGGTCTAGGCGGACCCCTAATGTGCACAACTGGTGATGTATTCTCAGTGGTGGGTGTTGCTGTTTGGCGCGATGATGTAGTCGTACTGATAAAAGTACGGGAATGGGTGACAAAGGCCTTATTATCTTTCGAGGATTGATTGACTGCGCGAAGGTATTCACTCGTTATACATTAGTATTAACTTTTAGTATAATTTTTGTCCTTTACACATTATTGACCTCTTGACAACGATCGTCAGATCATAATAACGTACTCGTAATATGTAACGGAATATTTGCAGTATTAGAACTTTCCCGTCCTTACCGCTGCTCCTCGTCAGTTCATTGAAACCTCCTTATATGACCTTTTTCGTATTATGGCTGCAGCCCTGTCGGGCTGGCTCGACCGGAGACCGTACCAAATCATGTTGTTACAGTATGCAAGATAACGATGTCACGTACCGAATGTTGGTGAGTTTCGAAAACCGTACCCTTTTTACTGGTAGCGAAGAATTCTGGCTTCCAGTCCCCAAGAGTCAGGAAAGGCATTCGAATTTTGATTCTTAATCGACGATAGATTGATGTAGGCTGTATCTAATGAGCATAATTACTTATTGTCAACTTTTGTTATTTATTACATTTAATTACGTTCGATAGTCTTTTTTTTTTTATCCAAAATAATAAATACCTATCTACAAATAGGAGAGATAATTTTAACAGACGATAATTTAAAAAGAATTCAAAAATTCTAAGTTATATCAATGTAATTATCAATACACTTGAAACGACATTTCACTGTTCATTACAAATCTACATAACATGCAGGTTTGTAATGAACAGTGAAATGTCGTTTTGTCGTATTCCTTATATAGACATACTTTTAAGCTTTTAAAGAATGTGCGAGTACAAATTGCTTTGTGATTTATCATTTTAAATAAACTTATACATAACATTTTAAGACAACCTTGTTCGATCCGAAAGGGCCACGTAAGTACCATAATGGCATTACCAGAAACATATTGTTATTTGCATATAAAAATATTATTGTTATTTAAAATACATGTTTTTTACTAAATACAAATTGCTTAAAATTAAGCAAATTAATTTTTAAAATATGGTAACACTGACGTCAGCATAGATGTCTTTAAATGCGTAGCGATATAGTTACTCGACGGGCGCCCGCGTCAGAGTGTTTTTTAATTTAGTATTTTTCTATATAATATAACATTCTGACAATAATTACATTAACGGAATCGTATCACGATACCTAAAAAATGCATTTCATTGTGTTAAAAATTAGTGATTTTTAATTTTTATTGTGTGACAATGAATTATACAAAAATAATCGGGTTGTTTAATTCAAAATGAAACAAGATTTAATTTTATTTAAATGTATTTAATTCGTTCATTATGTTTATAACGTTTAAACCTGTGACCAGCCTCATTATGAGCTAAATAGATCATAAGTTAACTTAAATTAACGTGAAGTACCAAGCGTTACATTTGGTACTTCACGTAAATAACATAATTGAATACTATATCGAATCACGTCTTATATTTAAAATACAAATCTCTAAAATTAAACATAAGAAAAGACGCAGCACTACAGTTTTGTAGGAACTAAATACTTGAAAATAAATGTTATTTACTACAATGGGAATGTCGAGATCTACAAGAGACAATTATTTCTATCAATAACAGTTCAACACATTACATTTAGCATAAATTAACTAACATTGTACTTTAGGGTGTACACGAAGATCTTTGGTGTCGAACTTGATTATTACAAGATGAGATAGCTATGGTCACAAAATCTTATAATATTCCTTCAAATAAGAAAAAAAACGTAAATAAACATATGTCTTTACAGTTACACAATTAAAAAGTCTTACAATTTACAGCCCGTTTACGTAAGCTTATATTTCACTCGAAAATATCACCTAACGCTATAAAATACAGTTAATTTTTAAATGAATAAATTTTAAAGACAATTTAGTTCAAATATTTGTCAACAATTTTTACTACAGCAAGTGTATGGACTAATCAACTCCTAATTATATAATAATACTCTAAAATAAAAGGTTAAATGGTTTTGGTCGTCACTTCTTGCAACTACATAAGAAAACAATACAATTGACTCAATATTTCGTATATTTTAAAAAACGATATATTAGTAACTAAAACTTTAAAGAACTTTTGCTGCATCAAATTAGCTTAGCATTTCTACGTATACATAACATCTCAACGATTATCATTTAGAAATAATAAACATGATTTATGTCATTATCAACCAAATTTTCATGTCAGGTAAAATTTATCCATCGAATAAATTCTAAACCCACTGAATATAAAAGTGAAACAATTGAATTATTTTACTCAGTACAACTGTAATTTTTAATTTTTTAATACGTTATATATTATACTATGAATAAATTTTAACTGAAGATAGAAAAATCGGTCCTAACCACAAGCACCTCTGTCACTTGTCACTAAAATTTATAGGCTGCAGCCACATTTACATAATAATTTATTTATATAATATAAATTTCAATCGACAACCATAACGAAGATTGAAAATGTTTAAATTTTTTTAACAGAAATTTAACACAAATAAATATAAAAATACTATAAATGACAAGATTTCGTTACATCACAATGTTGCAGGTTCACGCGATAACAAGGGGCTCATCGTCGGAGAAGCCTTGTATTGGAGGCACGTCGTCGTCGTCTGCAATAAACGTACACTACGTATTAGAATCACACGAGCAATTTAATACAAAATATACTAATATAATACACTTTGTTTTATTTACTCTATAAAACCATCACCACTGCCTCGTTGGTCTAGTGGTTGTAGTGGTGCGACCACTGATCATGAGGTCCTGGGTTCGAATCCCGGGTCGGGCCAAAAAATTAATTATTGAGTTTTTCCGTCAAGAAATTCTCGATAGCAATCCGTGCTTCGGAAGGCACTAAAGCCGTTGGTCCTGCGCCAGATCTCTCTCCGGTCGTGTCGGTTTATCGTCCCATCGGAATATGAGAGTGAGGGAATAGAGTGCACCTGTGCTTGCGCATACACTTAGGCACTATAATCCTGTCCTGCGCCGATGGCTAGTCTCCGTTGATGCTGGCCGCCGTGACCGAAATTCGGTCTGGAGGACATTATTATTATTAAAACCATCACCGATTGTTTTTTTGCACGCCTCACAACGCGCGAGCGTGTGCCGTATGACGATTTTGCAATATACCATTTTTAATGTCTCAATTTAGACACTAAATTAACAAAAAAGGGATTTTTAAAAACTAGATATATTAAATTATAAAGAATTTTTATTCATTTGTTAAATTATATTTACAAAAAATATAGTTTGAAATGATTAGTACGGCTGTCAATTAATCTGTGTACTTAATTGTCTACACATTTCAGAAAAATATACGCAACTAAATGAAATCAATCTTTCTGAATAAGTTTTCATTTATCCTCAAGATGATCCCTATTGCTGGTTGTTATCAGACTCATAGACGCTTAAAAGATATTTATTTTTCATTAAAATAAAATGAAATTTTGATGAAAAAATAAGAACGCTCATGAGGCGTGCACTTTTGGATTTTCCAAACTATTTTTAAACTTGTTTCAGTATCAGCGTCTTACAAAAATTAACCATCTCAATTAAGCCGAATTGGTAAAAGAGACAAAAAGTAACATGTTAGACTGCGTGTGCGTCCTCTAAATTTATCATAAAAAATGAAGTTAAAACCTATATACTAGTCTCTCTGCTGAGCATAGGCCAAGTGTCACTTAAACCCCACCTCTAAAGTTTTTCGGTCACTAGCGTGTGTACGTGCACAAAAAATTCCTTACTGATGTGTTCTTTAATTTTTTCACATTTTAACATTTTTCTACTATTAGCAATACCCGTAGTTTAAGTAGACATGTGTAGCTAACTCAGATCACTGCGCCGGATGTGTTAAGTCACTGTCATTTCTTCAAAACTTGTTAGCGCATAGTGCAGGATCAGGAAATTCCATTCTCTCTCTCTCACTCTCTCTCTCTCTCTCTCTCTCTCTCACTCTCTCTCACTCACTCTCTCACTCTCTCACTCTCTCACCTCTCTCTCTCACTCTCTCACACTCTCTCACTCTCTCTCACTCTCTCACTCACTCTCTCACTCACCTCTCTCTCACACTCTCTCACACTCTCTCTCTCTCTCTCTCTCCACTCTCTCTCTCTTTCTCTCTCACTCTCTCTCTTTCTCTCTCACTCTCTCTCTTTCTCTCGCACTCTCTCACTCTCTCTCTCTTTCTCTCTCACTCTCTCTCTCTCTCTCTCTCTCACTCTCTCTCTCACTCTCTCTCTCTTTCTCTCTCACTCTCTCTCTCACTCTCTCTCTCTCTCTCACTCTCACTCTCTCTCTCTTTCTTTCTCTCTCTCACTCTCTCTCTCTCTCTTTCTCTCTCACTCTCTCTCTTTCTTTCTCTCTCACTCTCTCTCTTTCTCTCGGACATAATGTTTGCGATTTTTTTTAATTAATTTCCCTCAACCATTCGCCTATATTACTTATTTTGAATGTTCTCTGGAAATTTGACCGTATATCGCAAAATAACCTTGTTTAATGATGGTACGATGACATACTGGATTACCTTTTTTTACCGTCTGGAAAAAAATACGGTGTAACATGTAAACGGAGTAGTAAACCTATGGCACTGACATTTTACAAAATATAAAATAAAAAGAAAAAAATTTGAATTAAATAAATTAATTAAAATCTATTAATTATAATCTATCAATATATATATATATATATATATATATATATATATATATATATATATATATATATATAAGCTTTTTAAATTTGGTTCATCATTGTATATATATATATATATATATATATATGTGTATATATAATAATATGTACACTCTCCTACTATACAAACGGCAATACAATAAATTTTGTAGGTATCTTTGACCTTGTCACTTCGCAGGATCACAGGCTCAAGGGCAAAGGGTAAAGAAATAGTTCGAAAAAAAATTTTGTTTTTGTAAAATTTCAGTGCCATAGGCTTCTTTCTACTCCGTTCACGTGTTACACCCTATTAGTTCCAGACGGTAAAAAGGTTGTGGCGGTGGAAGGAAAAGGGGAGATCTCCCGCCGGGCAA